TTCATTTAAATGCTGAACACTTTCCAATTCCTGTACTCAGTTGTTGTTGTTCAGTGGCTAAGTCGTGTCGGATTCTCTGGGACCCCGTGAACTGTAGCACACCGGATTCCTGGTCCTTCAGTATCTCTCTGCGTTTGCACAATTTCATGTCCATTTGAGTTTGTGATGCTATCTAACCATCTCATCCTCTGTCGCCGCCTTCTCTTCTTGCCCTCAATCTTTCTTAGTAGTGTTTAAAAAAAAAAAAATAAAGACGGAAGAAGATAATTTAGGTGATACATTTAAGTTCACACTGCCATGAAGTGGGCAGCCTCCTTTTGGAGAAATGCAAAATAAAGTGGAAGGCACGAAGCTTTCACGATAAAAAATAAAACAGCCAGTTCTTTCACCAGCAAAGTGGACTTACTTGGGAGTAGCCAAGGATTTGGAGTTGGGACAAGCGAACTGTAGCAAAGGCCATAGATAAGTTCAACAAAGAAAACGCCCATTATGTTAAAGAGAAGAAGGAGGAAGTTGGCAGGAGTAGCTTTGAAGAAAGTCCTGGGTTGACGTGAGAATTCAGGTGGTGATGGTTTCTCATAGGCTAAGTAGCTAGGTACACAGGAAATGTCCCCTTCTAGTGGGTCTGTAAATGATGCTCTCTTGTTGGAGTATGTAATTAACAAGGAGTAATTGATGCCTCCTTTGGTAATGTGTCCTTCCGACTATTTAAAATGATATTTTCTTTATTCAGCTTGACGTTTTGTACTTTTCTCTGAAAGCATCGCTGATGAAGAGGCAGGTTTTCCAGTTTCAGTGGCCTTTATCCCTTGGTGCCAAGAAGGACTTCTTGGTCCACTTTGCGCCCCACCTTGGAGAGGAAAGTGCACCGATTGGAAACCTACTGAGGAAACCTAAGGAGGAGTAGAAGGGAGAAATTGCGGTCTAATCTTAAGATCTTAAGCACTAGAGATCGTTCTGATCATTTTGAAATGTGGAGCAAGTATCAACTTGTTGGACAAACTGGTTTTACAAAGATTTAACAGGCAGCAAAATACAGAACTTAAAATAGTTACACAAAGCAGAATTATAAATAAAAGTTTAGAACCAAATTGTATGATGGTTCTAAACTAGGACCTTAAGCCTGAGAGTAGCCAATAAAAGAAATCATGCTGGAGAAGGGGGAGTGTCAGGTGACCCTGTTGGAAGTGGTCTTTCTCTCTGATTCTTCTATGCACTTCAGTTTCTGCTTCTCTAATCATGTTTTCTCTGACATTTACTCGAACCCAAGGGAAAAAAGGCTCTTCCCACTGAGGCAAATCTGGTGTCAGGTATGCTTCCTGAAAGTTCCCACTCAGGGTGACCATGCATGCATACTAATTCGTTTGAGTTGTCTTTGACTCTTTGTGACTCTATGGACTGTAGCCTGGCAGGTTCTTCTGTCTATAGGATTCTCCTGACAAGAACACTGGAGTGGGTTGCCATGCCCTCCTCCGGGGGGGGGGGGGGGTCTTCCCGACCCAGGGATCTAACCCACATCTCTTACATCTCCTTCACTGGCAGGTTCTTTACTACTAACACCACCTGGGAAGGCCATTAAAATAGTATTGTTATTTCGAAAGAACTGTTCAGAACCAAATATATTACCCAGTAATACAGGCTATAAGGTTGCAAATTCAGAAACCATAACTCTAGATAAGAATCCAGAAATAGTTAATAGTCCAGACAAGGAAAAACTTAAGTGAATTCTGAACCTTCTAACTCTTAAAAAAAAAAAAAAGGCAAGTAAAAGATTAATTTGTCATGGAGATTCTGAAAGACCATAATCAAAAGAAGAGGTTGTCCCCTTTTGCAATAATTTGAGAAGTACCAATAAGGGTATTGTCTTTCCGTGAAAGAGAGAAAGAGAAAAGCAACAGTGACCAAAAGGGTATACAAGTCTGGTCAGGTCATCTTTGGAAAGCTGTCTGCCTCAGTTATTAGCTGCTTCTTTTTCTAGTCAGTTTGATTTGGATGTTTCCAGTGTTTTTATAGCACCACGTGTCAGGTGAAGTCTTCTTTAGCTGTGAGATGTGTACTCAAGTTTCAAGTCCCTGAAGTTTGGTCGTGAGGAGGACCTGCTATAGACCGTTCCAAGGAAATTCAAGAGCAGTCTTTTTTCTTACTGATTTCAAACCAGAAAAGTGGAAGAAAATTGAAAACATTAGTTTGAAGAGGAGTAGTCAGACATTTAAAGATAGTAAAAATATTTGACCAAAGAGTTACTTTGGCCACCTGATCCCAAGAGCTGGCTCATTGGAAAAGACACTGATTCTAGGAAAGACTGAGGACAGGATGAGAATGGGGCAACAGAGGTTGAGATGGTTGGGTTCCATCACCGACTCAATGGACATGAGTTTAAGCAAACTCTGGAAGATAGTGAAGGACAGAGAAGCCTGGCGTGCTGCAGTACATGGGGTCGCAAAGAGTCAGACACGGCTGAACAACAACAGCAGAAGAATTTGGGATCCAGTCCAGCATATAGGTATGTAACAAAACCTTGAAGATCACTGGTAGGACTGGAATTTAATATCTGTGTAAGTGAAAACATGATTTCCTTCTCCATGATTATCCTTTAATTATAGATAATCATAGTAAAACTAACTTGTTGGTATTGAACTTGGTTTGATTATTTACATAAATGAAATGAGAATAGTGACTGATCATGTAAGCTCTTTTTCAAAATTGTTTTGCTTGAACCTTGTAAACAAGGTACCCGGCCAATTTATTTATTTTTATTGAGTAGGTCCACAAAGCTGCCTGGTCATATCTGAGTCTATGTACACCTTTCTTGAATATGATAATACAGCCAAAGCCATGGTGATAGAGCCAGTATTTCCAGTGGTGTCTTGTTATGACAAGAACAGATTCCCAGTGAATTTATGCAGATATACATATTGTCATGAAAAAAAATACTTGGGTTTTTAAATTCTGGAGGGATCAGGAAGGGAGGAAAAAAAAAATAAATGTTTTAACCCTTGTTGTAAAGATACATTTTCTTAAAGGGGGGGGGGGGGGGGAAAGGGTCCTTTACATCCAGTTCTGTGCAGTATTTTAAAATTATCTAACAATTTCATCCTAGAATATTTGTGAGGATCTTTTACATGAATTTCTTTGAAGATAAACACATTTGCCGAAGCCTCGGAGTATAAACAATAACTGTCTATAAATGACAAAAGACTTAAAAATAGTACTAATTAAAGATGAAGGTTCAATTTAATGTAATCGACAAGTCTATTTGGTCATTTCTGTGACCACATCTTTAAAACCATGGCTGTATATTGTCAGCCTGCTTATTTAACTTATTTGCAGAGTACATCATGAGAAATGCTGGGCTGGATGAAGCACAAGCTAGAATCAAGATTTTTGGGAGGAATATCAGTAACCTCATTTATGCAGATGACACCACACTTATGGCAGAAAGCAAGGAAGAACTAAAGAGCCTCTTGATGAAAGTGAAAGAGGAGAGTGAAAAGGCTGGCTTAAAACTCAGCATTCAAAAAACTAAGATCATAGCATCCAGTCCCATCACTTCATGGCAAATAGATGGGAAACAATGGAAACAGTGAGAGACTTTATTTTTTTGGGCTCCAAAGTCACTGTAGATGGTGACTGCAGCCATGAAATTAAAAGATGATTGCTCCTTGGAAGAAAATCTATGACCAGTCTCGACAGCCTATTAAAAGCAGAGACAAAGGATGAAACAGAAGCATTTAAAAAAGACACATGTAGGTGAGAAATTAGTGTGTATGATAAAAACAATTCTAGTCAATCATAATTTATCTTAGTGAAACTCTGACATTTTAAGTAACCCCAAAAGATTTCAGTATGCCATTTTTAAGTACATGTATTGTAAAATATAATTGTTGCACCTAAAAACTCTTATCCCATTTTCATCTATCTGAATTATTTGTTCCCAATATTTATGTTTAAGTTACTCACAGAAACTTAATGATTCATTAGACAAAGTCAGCCATCATCTCAAGCAATTTTTTTTCTGACAGATTTGCAGCAGAGATAATGTGAATATCTAACCAGTAAACTCATGTGGAATAAAAGTATATTCAGTGCTGATGACTCAAGACATGCCTGTTTCAATTAGACTAACAAATTTAAACTATCACATGAACCACAAAAGCATTCGTGTGAATTGCTCTTATATTTCTGATAATTTATATAAGTAACATTTTTAGACCAATTAAATGGAACTCTTTATAAATTAATTTTGTGCCTAGAAATTGATTTGAACAGTTGGTAACGTTCTCTGGGAACTCTATAATTGTCCTCACTGTCCATATTAGTTATCTTGCTTAAGTAAAATTTGCATCATTCATTTCATGCTGGCAGCTTTTCAACAACAAAAATGAATAGCTCGTTTTTGGTAAATGTTCTCTCATTTTAGTATTCTTTTTGAGCCTCCACAATTCTTTTAATGCTGCACACATACATGTAATAGTGAAATCAGCTGGGGGAGGGAGGAGCATAGTAATAAAACAGCCGATCTTTTCTTGATATTTTATTGGTCTGACCTTATTTAAAGATAAGTAGATCTTAGGTAGCTGATGAGTTGGCAGTGATCAGCACTCCAAGAAGAGAGACCAGCTTGCAGAGAAGAGTGGAACTGAAACAGGGTGAGTGGTGGGATTAAGAACAGGATGTGTAGAGTTGACTTGTGGACAGATTCTTTAGCCTTGTCTTGTGTTGTGGATTCTCAAGCCTTGTGTACCAAATTGTTATTGGCAGTTATTATTTGTCAAGTACTGTACCAGGCATTGCAAATGTCCTCTTGCAGCTAAATCTAGTGGGAAGATTTGGTTAAAGGAGTAGTTACAGCAAAGTGTGAGTGAGGGTTAAGGAAGGATCTAAGCATTGTGAGAGCAGACAGAGTATTTTGTGTAGTTGAGAGTATTAGAGGAGTTGATTTGGAGTTGCTTTGAGGAAGAAAAAAGTGTAATGGGGAATCACATACCCAGAGGGTTGGAATGAATAGAACACCTGAAGGATATGAAAAACTGGAAGTTCATTTTGGCCGGGAGGAAAAAAGGTATGTGTGGCATACTCACCACATACATGGTAGTGTACGACTCAAGTAGTGAAACTTGAAAGGTAGATTAATTAAGAAAGAAGGAAAGTTGCCGGGGTCCAGCCTCAGCAGGATCCAGGGGTACCCTCAGGATGAACGGCGTTGGTGAGAGAGAGACGTGAGCAAGTGAAGTCGCTCAGTCGTGTCTGACTCTTTGCGACCCCATGGACTGTAGCCTTCCACGCTTCTCCGTCCGTGGGATTTTCCAGGAAGAGTACTGGAGTGGGTTGCCATTTCCTTCTCCAGAGGATCTTCCCAACCCAGGGGTCAAACCTGGGTCTCCTGCATTGTAGGCAGACGTTTTACCGTCTGAGCCACCAGGGAAGTGAAGTGTTAATTAATGACAGCCTAAAACCAAATTCAGATGCCGAAAACAGGTCATATGCTGACAGTCTGAAGTGGAATAGTTCTGATTTTTTGTTGTTTACTCCCTGCCTTGTGCTTATTGTTTTGTGTTTGTGTTTACTTTCTGGATATTTCCAGCACCTGACAAAACAGGTTACAGCTTCTAAGAGAAGTGAGAGCTTAGTCTGTGTGTGGGGAGGGGAGCTTGTTTGCCTTTGAAAAAGTTAGAAAACATGGAGAGAGTGAAACCTTTGATGTTTGCTCTCTTCTCTTTCCACTTTCCGATGGCGTGGTTGTAAGCTCGTTCAGCTGGGCTGAATCTGCTGTGGTAGGGCAGTAAAGCACCAGCAGGGCGGGTTAGCAACCCTGACAGGCTACAGTCCATGGGGTTGTGAAGAGTCAGACATGACTGAGCGACTGAACTGAACTGATCCGTGTGATAAGTGGTAAGTTGTTCAGTCATGTCCAATTCTCTGCAACCCCAAGGACTGTAGCCTGTCAGACTCCTTTGTCCATGGGGATTCTCCAGGCAAGATACTGGAGTGGGTTGCCTTGCCATTCTCCAGAAAGTATTCATAATAGGCTCTTATCCAGTGTCAAGGATTGGACCCCTAATCTTGGGGTCAGCAAACTTGAGAAGCTTAGCAGTGTCCTTGAGTTTCTCAAGTACTACTGCCACAGACAAGGAGATATGAGGAGAGGAAAGAAGGGAGAGTTAGTGGAGGGAGGACAGGAGTTTGGGAGGCAAAAAAAAAAATGGAATCAATAGAGAAAAGGATCCATGAGGTTTTTATTTTGAGGTTTCCATGGAAAAATCAGCATATCAAAGATGTCCAATGAGGCAAAAATATTAGTGACATAATGTTTAAATTTGGTAATGATTTAAGTGTAAAGAGGTACAGAACTGATGATGTCTATACTGATTGCCCTTGTTTTGGATATTGGAGCGGGGTGCCATGCAAGTCACTTCAATCGTGTCTGACTCTTTACAACACTATGGACTGTATCCCAGCAGGCTCCTCTGTCCATGGGATTCTCCAGACAAGAATACTGGAGTGGGTTGCCATTCCTTCTCCAAGGGATCTTCCCAACCCTGCATCTCTTAATCTCGTGCATTGGCAGGTGGATTCCTTTACCACTGGCGCCACCTGGGAAGCCTCATTGGAGGTGGTGGTGGTGGGGGATGTTTGTGAAGACAAAACAGACAGACTCCTTACAATGAGAAAAGATACATTGTTTATTGATTCTATAATCCCTTTATAATAATTAAAAATGCTAATGTTTTACAAGTCTTACTCATTCTTATTTTCTAGTTTAACTATTTTCCCTAAACAGAATACTATGAAAAACATAGGCAACTTTTTTCTTTTTTTAAATAGCCATCTAAGTTCTCATCAAGTTTCTTCAGCATAGTTCTCTTACATTAAAGTCACGGTCAACATGGAAAAGACCTCACCCTGAAATGAATTTTCCGTTTAATGGTCTCTTGTATATATGACTTACCATTAGGGGCAAAACATGCAGAGAGCGCATTGTAGGCAAAAGCCAGCTTGGTCATGTTGTGTTTGGCTCTCTCTGTGTAGGCCTCTCAGTTTTGTGAACTGATCTGGCCAGTGACCTTGAGAGCTTATTTTTCCTAGACTAGAAGCAGGCCTAAGGAACCCTGAGCCCTACAGCTTTAATTTTCTTCAAATGCTTTCCCAAGATAAAGGCAGCCCCTGGTTCCATGTCCCACATAAGCTGAGAGGCAGAGAGGGGAGCATGAGAGAGAAGGCAGTAGAGATGAAAAGGAGGAAAGAAGGGAAATCAGAACAAAGAAAATCCAAAGTGGCAGCAGTACCAGTGGAAATAGTTTCACATTGTTGCCTTCTACAGAGAGCTGTAGTGCTGTGACTGAATTACTTATCTTGGCTCAAAACCAATAGTTTCGTTCTTTGGAAGAAGGACCAGGGAAAGTAGGGGAAAGTAGATGAAGTCATGGGTTCTCCACTTACATTTCCCACTAACAGTTACTAGGTCTTAGCCTCAGTACTCCCTGGGTAAAATGCCTCTGATTCTGAGAAAGTCAGAGAATGTAACTGCCTCGCTCTAACCCTTGTGAGAGAAATCTGTTATATAGTTAAAGTATGAAGTACACTACTAACCAAATCCTTGTAAAATGTGAACCACTAACCACAGACATTATAAGTAGGTAATGTCTTATTATCTATAACTTAACCTCATTTCTTAAAAAAAGTCAGTACTTTTATTAATGATCTGGTAGAGATCGTGTTGTATGCAAACCTGATTTGTATACCTGAAAAAAAAAAAAAATCAGACCCACAGCTCTTGTCCTTCTTGTGAAGAGGAGTAGGGACTCCTAAGCTGGGAATGATAGTGGAGTGGTGGTTCTGCATCAAACTGACCAGGGGCCAATGAAAAGGAGACCTTCTTCTCTGGCTGACTATAATACCCTTAAGCACTTGGAGCTACATATTCTGGACTTGAAATTCCTAGAATCCCCACAGTGAAATAAACTGTTTCTGTTTGGCAAATAAAGATCTTTTATTTAGTTTGGGAAATGATGGTTAGGTATACAGTAATCACTAGTCTTCTTAGGTGGCTCTAGGGGTAAAGAATCCCCTTCCAGTGCAGGAGATTCAGGTTTGGTCCCTGGGTGGGCAAGATTCCCTGGAGGAGGAAATGGCAACCCACTTCAGTATTCTTGCTTGGAAAATTCCAGGAACAGAGGAGTCTGGAGGGCTAACAGTCCATGGGTCACAAAGAGTTGGACATGACTGAGCATACAACAATAACAAGAACTATAGTAATCCCTATACAGTAATAACCACATTAGGTATCATTTAGTGCCACAAATGTTAAATGTAAAAATTCTGTGTGCTAAAACCATGAATAAGACGTGGTCCCTGCTGATAGGAGTTTTTTAATTTACTGGAGGCAGAAGCGTCATTATGAGTCATTATAATTTACTGGAGGCAGGAGCGTCTCTGATTCTTTCTTACCTGGTTTCCGGTCATACATCAAGTTTTAAGAAATGTTATTACCTTTAATGAGGACACTTCTTAGTTTTCAGAACTGCCAGAGACTCCAGATACCTATGTGGCCACCTATAGCAATATAGCAATATTTGTGTTCTTTATTAATTATCTTCTATGCAAAAAACCAGAATACTTAGAAAAATTAGTTTTGAAATTGGTGTTTTAGAAGATTGGGAGAGATTATTGGCAAAGGCAGAGATACCTCTCCATTCCAAATTTGAAATGTTATCCTTTAGCGGGTGATGTGAACTGGAGTCTGAGTCAGGAAGAGAAAAAAGAAATGGTATCCTTTAATAAAAAAAAGCTTAATGAGAAATGTAGCATACTTGCACATAGTTAAAAAAGCATAAGAAGAGTTTAAAGAACAGCAACAAGAAAAATAAATACCTGTGTATCCATTGTCTAGGTTAAGAAATACAACACGCTTATTCTGAAACCTAACTTTTTCAAAAGTATCTTAGGTTAGCTTTCTTCATGTCTACGTTTATTTTAATCCTAGCCACAGTAATAAAACCTGATTTCAAATTTAAGACAGTAATCTTTTATAGAGGTAATTTAGGAATAATCATGTCACGGTTTCATAACATAAATATTGTTATTTCATCAGATACATATTTTATGTAAAATATATTCTTAACTATTCATAAAATTTGTGATTGTGGGCAGCTGTTTAATTACTTGAAGTGATGCCTCAAGTTTTAAAGCTTTTTAATACATTAATATTCTGCTATAAAAATATATGTATTTATTTGGAGAAAAAGAGTAAGAACTTTGAGATCTCTCCTGTTGCTTCAGAATTTGACAGTAAGTAGGTGACTCCCTAGAGGAAAGCTTCACACATAGGTAAGCTTTCATTACTTGTGAAATGGAAGTTTGGGTCTTGTTTCCTGTTTTCCTAGATTTGTTTTGGAAGGGGAGTGGGGCTGTATCATTTTCATTCTAATTGGTTAGTGCTAAAATAGTTAGGTGAAGAACTGATACTCTGAAAGTATGTAAGATGAGAGTTTCTTAAAGGTAGCCACCTCTGCCAATATTTTGGTCTCTACAATATTTGGTCTCTACAAGACATTGTAGAGAAAAGCTAATCTGAGTTTACTTTTTCCTTTCGTTACTCCCCAGCAAATTAGGATGTTGCTTAATTTTTCTTCTACTTCTGCTTAAAATGTGAAAACTTGGAAAGAATAAAGGGAAATAAAATATCATAATCCTGTGCACTGATTTAGTATCTTCAGGTCCCTTTCTGCCTACAGAAAATTCTTAGACTTTATGGTAAAAGTTTACTGGTGAAGAGAGAAAAAAAATCAGGTCTCTAATAAAGCTTAGGAGTACGTCAAGGCTGTATATTGTCACCCCGCTTATTTAACTTATATGCACAGTACATCTTGAGGAACGCTGGGCTGGAAGAAGGACAAGCTGGAATCAAGACTGCTGGGAGAAATATCAATATCCTCAGATATGCAGATGACACCACCCTTAGGGCAGAAAGTGAAGAGTGAAAGAGGAGAGTGAAAAAGTTTGCTGAAAGCTCAACATTCAGAAAATTAAGATCATGGCATCTGGTCCCATCACTTCATGGGAAATAGATGGGGAAACAGTGGAAACAGTGACAG